TTTCTGAGAGGGGCCTTCATAATTAGAATAGGGTTTTGGGGGTACTGTCTACTATAATTGCAATAGAAGGAGCCCCTTAAAATAGGATTGTCACCTTACATTATAGGGTGGGGGGTTCTTATATTGTGATTATGGTAATATACCCCAAAACCCTATTCTGCTTGTTCAGGCGCCTACATTACCACTAGGCCCAAGCCCTATACTATATTCAGAATAAGGAACCCCCCTAATATAGTATTGGTAGATATCAAGGCCCGACATTACAGGAGTGTTTTAGGCCAGAGTTTTAAAGGTTTCTGGATGATGGCTGCGCTGTTGTTTGTTCGGTCTCGGCCTTGGGCCTCCGAGGTTTCTTGGTTTACGGAGTGCTTAGGTTCTTGGTTTTTGGGGCTTGGGGTCTAGGGTTTATATGGTTTAAGGGCTTAGGGTTTAGGTGTTTAGGGTTTAGGGTTTTTGGGTGTTATGGTTTTGGGTTTGGGTTTTTGGGGGGTGTATAGGAGCCAGGATGTGGGCAGAAACAGGGTTTCTGAGTCGGTTTGGTGTTAAAGGGTCCGTGGTCCTTTTTTGGGGTGGCGAGGGTTTTGGTGAATACACCCTAGACCCTAAACCCTATACACCCTAAACCCTACACCCTAAACCGTTAATAATCAGTCGGAAGGCCTCAACCCTAGCCGCCCTAGCCAAAGCCCTGCATGGCCCTGCTTATTCACGTAACGTGTCGGGCTTCAGTTTAGGGTTTAGGGTTTTAGGGGGGTTTGAGGTTGAGGGCTTTCGGTTTTGGGCTTTTGGGATTAGGCTTTTGGTAGCTCGTGGCTGCAACTTCCAGGAATTGCAAAGGCAAGCACTGAAGCCCGAAATCCGGACAAGAGTTCAGCTCCATTCAATCTTGGCGGTGGCGCTGCACACTTTTTGGGTTTAGGGTTTAGGGTCTAGGGGTTTAGGGTTTAGGGTTTAGGGTTTAGGGGTTTAGGGTTTAGGGCTTTATTGCACAGCATCGTGCCTTGATGTGAGGGAAGTGAGGAGGAAACTCTGCAACTCCAAATCCAGCACCGTCGAGTTGCATGGGACGCTTGCAGCACCCACAGGGTCCTCACGGGAGGTCCCAATGCGAAGATTCAGTCGGCAAGCACTGAGCTTTTCGCAGTAGCGCAACATGAGGGCGCACGGATACCATCACTTCCAGGCATTTTAAGTGGATTCGAACGTACGGTGCGGGGGATACTTCTAGTAGTTCCTATTATGGAAACCATCTACGATATGGGCACCCTAGGTTAAACCCTAAACCACCCAAACCCTAAACGGTACGTAGGATCTTTTGCGGCAAACAGCACAAGCGCTTGCAGCAAGGATGCCTGGCGCCTTGAGAGCGAAAGTCCTGCTGGCTGTTGAGACTTCGCAAGGCTTCGGGTCTTTATGCTTCTCTTTGGGATAACCTACCGGCCTTCACAGTGCCACACTGATGGCAAAGAGCCATTCGGAATACTAGTTCTTATATAGTTCTTAAAGCACTGATATGGGCAGGCCCCATCTGGTTTGTCTGGGGAAATTTTGGCGCCTTGAGCTTAAGCATGTCCCCTAAACTTACAACAGCCTTCCATCAGAAATGCTATGCAAAGCCTTACATCCTAGACCCTGAATCCCAGATCCTATAAGTAAGCGCTAAACTGAACCCGACTTATATATCCCCGTCTCCTGAACCCCATGGGGACCTCTTTGTAACGCACGTTAAGAACCTTTCCCCTTAGCATCAAAATAGCCCAAAAGCCTCATGTTAGAGGGTCTTTGGGCCCAAAAGCCTTAAAATACGAGTCCTTTGAGGCTAACCCTAAGGCTCCATGTACCCATATAGTAGATACTTAGGGCTTAAAGTACCTATATAGGGACCCGTTTAAGCCCTAAGTATCTACTATAAAGGTACATGGAGCCTTTGGGTAAGGGTTCTGGAACTCTGAGCCTTTGGCCTTCTGAGAGAAGCTGAGGTGCCATGCCAGACCTCGGAAACCCATGGGGCTCCACCCCACTGCTGTTGGCTGCAGCTAAAGGGCACCTGGAAGCCGTACAGGCCGGCTTCGGTTCTTGCATGTCGGGTATTTTTATTTTTTTTTGTTGGGGGGGGTTGGGGGTGTTGGGTTGGGAGTTTCGGTTTGTTGGTCAAGGTCACAGGTTTATGGCTTTCCTACTACGGCTGCTAGTACCTGGCCTGGTAACCCGATTTGGCTTCACGCCGCCCCCCTCCCCCCCCCCCTCGCCCCCTCAAAGCATCATTGCAAGCTCCACGATCGCAGCAATGATTGAAGGTATTGCAGTCCTTCATCGCATTGTATAGGGTTCTCCAATATAGCTACGGTTTCATATACCCCTGGACCCAGTGAGTAAGGTCCGAGGGCGCATGTGGTACAGCGAACCGGTATGCGGTATTGGTCTCTCCTGGCACTCAGCACCTACATGGTAGAAAGTACTCTAGAGTAGGGTAGGAGTTACGATTATGGTACGGGAGCTTGACATCCTTGAGCATCATCCTTGATGTGGAAGAGATCAGGTCCTGCTTGCGGCGGGTGCAGACACCGAGAGGACCACGAGGGCCTTACTCGATTCAGAGCTTAGTGGTAGTATTGTTGCTTTTGCTGCTGCTGCTGCTGCTGCTGCTGTTGCTGCAGTTGTCGTTGATGTTTAGGCGTTTAGTGCTTTGGTTCAGATTCAGGGCCGCAGTTTTTCTGGGCTTATGGCTTAAAGCTTACATGAGGTTCGTCTACACAACGCTGAAGCTTTTTTTGTAGCCGATTCTCATCTGACTCTGTGATCACTCCAGGACTACGGCCTCGAAATCCCAAACCTGTAGGGACTGTAGGGTTAAGGTCTACCTATAGTCTCCATTGTAGTTCCTTTTTTGGTTTAACCAATTATATAGTAAGGATTTTATAAGGTATCCCCAAAAAGGAACTACAATGGAGACTACAGGTAGGGTATGGGGTTTAGGGTTTAGGTTACACCAAAGAGTGCAAGCTCCTAATCGGTCCTAATCTTGATGGGACTTGACATGAAAGTTCGGCTCAAACCAAACATTGATTCCAGGATGTCTCCAGTTTAAAACTTTCTTGTATAAACCTTATATGAGCTTCACACGAACTACATCAGCTGAATTTGGCCGTTTCCGAGGAAGAACTAGCTTGGAGCTAGGGCTTAGGCCTAGGCAACTGCTGTAGAATCAGGACGCCCCACAGTGGTGCCACTGCCTTGTTCGCGGCCTGCCATCGGGGCTCCGCAGACGTTGTTCGAGTTTCTGGGTTCTGGAATTGCTTTGATTGTGTAGGCTTCATTATTTTAAACGAACCATCTTTGGAAAAGCCCCTACTAAACCCTATACCCCTAAACCATAACCCTAAACCCTAAACCCTAAACCCTATAAGCTCTGAAGCCCTAAAGCCTAAAAGCCGTACTTCAGAACCCAGGTGTTGCTGGAGGCGAGAGCAGACACGGAAGCATCCACTGCGGGTGACACCACACCGCTCGTGCAGGCATGCAGCAACACCTCTTGGTTCCCGTCTGCGGATGCTCAACCTTTTCTTAGGAGCCCAGTAGGTAAACTTTAAACTTTTTGGTATATCAAACCCCCTACTAAAAGAAAAGTTTAAACTTTTTTGGGCCAGGGTACTGGGCTTAAAGGTTTTTATGAACATATAAGTTGCTGCTTCTGGTCTCTAATTCTTTGTGAAGCTCCATCTCGTTGTGGTGCGAGAACTTCATGCTTTTGGGTTTCTACCTTAACCTACCAAAACCCATTTTTTTGTAGGTTCTTATTATAAACCCTATTATGGAAATTATAGGGACCCTACAAAAAAGTAGGTTTTGGTAGGCTAAGGTAGCTATTGCTCGAGGTCTCGGATTTAGCGCATACGGTTACGGGAAACACAACCTCCCACCTTCAAATGCTCATGGAGGCATTGAAGCGCGGACACTTGGAGATAGTCCAACTTCTGGTTCAAGCCGGCGCCGCCACACATCGAAAGAACCGGGCTGGTATCACGCCGCTCTTCCTGGCATGCTATCGAGGGCTGATGGAAGCTGTGCGCGTGCTCGTGGAGGTTGGCCTGAACGAACCGTTAAAAGAACCTGAGCCTAGAGTGCTAAGGCCTTAAAACCTGAACCCCAGAGCATATCTATATCTCTATATATATATATATATGTATATATATATATAAACCCATAGGTCCTACCACCGAAGCCCTAAGCCCTATGACCTCAAAGACAGTGGGGCCTGTCCCTGCAGGCTGGAACGAAAGAGCGGGTCTATTCAGCGGAGGATTTGGCGACACCAATGGTTACTGGGATTGGGCTTATGTTTCTGCTTGTGTTCATTTGTATGTTTCTCGAAGGCATGTATGCTGCATGGGGTTGCCCGTACTGGATTTGCTTGTGTTTTCTCGGGTTCTTTTTTAAAACGACCTACATACTGGGATTGCGCTGGCCGTATCTGCTTACGGTGATTCCCTAACCCTCCAGGTACCTACTATATAGGGTCCTAGGGTCTCTGGTACCCTCTACTGGGTTCTTGTTAAGGGATTTAATTTAAGTTACCATAATAAGGAAACCATATTATTTACTATAGATCCCTATCATGGTAACTTAAATTGAATCCCTTAACAAGAACCCAGTCTATAGTAGGTACCTGGAGGGTTA